CTGTGAAAGACTAGGGCGTTTCTTTAGAGCATTGTTAATTGTTGTATAGGAAGAATTGTGTGATCAGATTGACTATCCGTGCGTTCATAAAGGGCGAGTGGTCGCGGTACGGTATATGAGGCCGGACGGTCAGGTGGTGAGGGTGACGAAAGAAGGGGAAAAGTTGGTGAATTCTCGGGCTTTCTTTACGGACGTTGAAGATGAGTTGGATTATCGCGAGCGTCATGGGCTGCGTTTTGAGTTTCACTCTGAATATTACAAGGAAACGCCCAACGAGTTGGCAAATGTACAGCCGATTTTGGAGATTCGTAGAGTCCTGGCCCATCGCACTGAGCGGTCGGGGAAGAGGATTTATGAGTTTTCACCAAAAACTGAGCTGAGACTGGCAGCATTATGTAGAGTTTTGGAGCCGTGTCCGGTACGAGTGGAAGAAGCCAAGACGGGCCCGCAACTGGTGGTGGGCGAACGAGTGATCTGTTGTGATATGAGAAGTGTTTTTGGAGGGTGTGTCGGTACGGTAGTGAGTGTTAACAATGGGGGTGTTGTGGTTGATACGGAACAACCTTCTGGACGGAGTGCTTCCGAGGTGGATTTTGTTGCGAGCAAATTCGTAGGTGGTAAACATAAGGTGGTTTGGTATAGTCCGGAAGTAGCAGCTAGCAGGGCTGGTCTGACGGTAGATCTATGGTGGATGATTGTGGGCAGTATCACGGCGAAGCTCGGCAGGGAACGGGTCCAGGTAGGCTTTGGGCATCTCCCGTACGTTATTCTATTCTACTCGATATCATATCTGGAGTGTCGAGTCATCCGGTCATTTGTACGGTAACGATTCCGTAAAATAGCATATGTGCATTACGTATAAGTCGTTTATGTGATAGCTTTGATGGGAATGGAAAAAGATACTGTTGACTGTATAGAAACGCTCATCGAGAGATGCCTATCGGGAAGAAATGTGTTAGTATTCGAGTCGATATTATACTTGGAGTGCCAAGTTGTTCAGTTGTTTGTACGGTAACGATTTCGTCATAAAGCGTATGGGCGTTACCTATGGCTGGTTAATGTGATAGCCTTCATGTTGAGTGTATTGAGAGAATGTGTTGCCATCGTTCAGGTCGGCATGGAGTTGTTCCATTCGACGCGTTTCGAAGTGTCTCCAGGGAAGTCGTCATGGAGGATGTTAGTCATACCCAACTACACTCGTTACAGTCATAATCCTGTTACTCGGCAAGAGCGTTGGTCCTTCAGTAACTATGCTGTACAAGCTGTTGAAGTAGTGGGAGGCATTCTCATCAACACTACGATGGGTTTTCACTTCAGGATTATATGGAAGCTTTTCCCAGTGTATTCGATGGTCTTTGTGACCTGGATCATTTCGACCCGAAGTTAGCACTATCGGCGAAGCGATTGTTGGATACTGATACTGACGATTATGAATATGAGCTTGCCAAGTTGAAGAAGTGGTTGAGCGAACAGGTGAGGAAGGAGGGTGATGTTGGCAGAGAGGAGTCTTTGTTGTGGGACAGGAGTTCCGTCGGCTGCCTTTGGTATCTTCGGCGTATACCGCACTACCGCGAACTGGTGTACGATCCTTGGAGGTCTATCTGAATCGGGGAGTGGAAGAAAATCCGACCCCGCCTCGCATCACTGTGACACCGGAGCAGCTAGCACCAGTTGAGAACGCCAAGTTTGTAAGCAAGGCCTGTCAAGAACGACCGAGAGTCGGCAACAGAGGTAGGTCTCGTGATGGTCGGTACTGAGTAACGCTGATGTGATATCCTCAGCTGTCTATGTTGGGTCTGATAAGCCTGTCCCTGTTGGTGCTAGATGTGTAGTCACATCTGTTTATGGTCGACCTGGTCAGGACATGAAGGTTGAGCTACTCTTTGACCGCTGTACTTTCGGCTGTGATACAGCTTTTGGGAGGTAGGAGGAACCTTATTGTTACCCGATCTGGTATTACTAGAGCAGGTGCAGCCCAATGCGGGGTCTAGTGGTGTCGCCTTCCGATATACTTGTGCTTCCTGTTTATCCGACATCACCTCTTATACCGCATCCACCTCCTTCTGGGAACACCTACTCGTCGCCACCGAAAGAAGTTACCCTCGACGAGTCCCCGCCTATGAACGGCACTGGAATGAGCCGTAAAGAGAGGAGCAAGCGCAAGGTTAGGAAAGGTGAGAATTATTCATCATGGAGGTTGCTGCTATACTTATGTTCTATCAGCCCCCACTGTGACATATGCATCTAGGCATCCTGACACGACGATATTAAGCCACGAGCTTCGTCATATGCTGGGCATATCACCCAACAACAACAAGCAGCAGTCCTAGTCTGCTTGCCTGTTCAATCGTATCTTATGACGTTGTAGTTGTTCTCGTATACTGTACTTTATGTTCTGCAGCGGTGCATTACTCGTGTATAGTACTCGGTACTCGTGATAGTTCCATTTTCGGTTGAATCATTGCGTGGTGAGATATCTCTGTTTCTCCACGGTGCGTTATGGAAGTTTCGAGTGGTGAATGAAGAGTGAGTGAAACTATCGTCGTAATTAAGTTCTAGACGACCTGGAACAGCTTGCATAAAGCGCGATTAGCGATGGGCCTGAAAATTTTGTCCAACCAAAGAACAACACCAGAATCAGCACTCGTGGATACTTCGCCATATAGATGGGCGGGTTTGTGTTACGGACGGTTATGGCTGGTGATAACGCTCACAGAAGTAAGCCCGTAATGTAAAGAACGGATCACGCGACCAGACTTCATGAGTCATGAAGTCATAGTACCAGTCATGAATCATGTCAGGAACTATGAGGAGTTCAGGAGCTTCCCTCTCACTCTGAGGACTCCTCACGCTTTTTAGAGAGTACTACTAGCCTGATGCTGTTGAGGACCTTAGCTCGCTACCTTGATGCTTAGCATCTTGATTTGTGTGTTTCTGGCATGCATGACTGATGTTCCGGTAGTTGTACCTCAATGAACGTTTCTGATGTGTACACGAGTCGGTCTTCAGTTTTGTCAGTTGGGCATTGGAGGTAAAGATCGTCAATCACTCCCGTAGCGTAAAATCGGAGTTCACGCGTTTCCCAGACGTGATGTGATCAGATCACATCACGTCTGGGAAAAGTTTTTCCCACGGATTCCGTGGGAAAAAGTCACGCTGCGCAGCTACGCTTTAGATGAGATGTATAGTCTCTGATCTTTCTGACCTCTATACCTTCATACGTTACTGGAGCCAAAATGGACCTCAACGGCACGATGTAATCATTAGTTGAAACTTAAAGTTCAAGGGTCAGCCTCGTATGCATGCTGCACAGTAACATAGTCCCGAGCTACTGTTCACGCTATTACGGCAGTGAAGCCACGCGCCCATGTCTCTCCCATCTATAGGTTTGTTCATCGCATTCCTACGGGATTCTCGAGGTGGTAGATTTTTGACAGCTTACTGTCTCACATTCATGCCTAGATTAGCTCATTACTCACCCTCCGCAGTTGATCAAATCATATGGTGACTGCCAACAGCTTCTCAAGTGAGACTCTCCCAATCCAGACTAAGCTCTTCATTAACAACGAGTATGTCTCGGCTAAGTCTGGCAAGACTCTCACATCTATCAATCCCGTGGATGGTACGCCCATCGAGAAATTCGAGGTTGCCGGTCCAGAAGATATTGACATCGCGGTGAAGGCGGCGAGGAAGGCGTTCGAGACGTGGAAAGACTCTGATGGGTCCTTTCGCAGGGACTGCCTCTACAAGCTTGCCGAGCTCATTCAGCTGCACGAAGACCGTCTCGCTGAGCTCGAGAGTCTAGACAATGGGAAGCCTATTGTGATAGCGAAGGCAATTGACATCAAGCTTTGTCAGAAAATATACAAATATTATGCTGGCTGGGCCGACAAAGTATTGGGGAGTGTCGTACCAGTTGACGGTTCCAATATGTCTCTTACCGTTAAAGAACCCATTGGCGTGGTTGGGCAGATCATTCCTTGGAACTTCCCTCTGGTCATGCAATCAATGAAGTTGGCTCCAGCCCTCGCTGCTGGATGTAGGTGTTCAGCGTGTTTATCGCTGCCAATGTTGTTGAATAGTTCTGATGTGTCGTAGGTACAGTTGTGATGAAGTTATCCGAGAAGACACCCCTCACTGGGCTTCTTTTCGGCCAGCTTATCAACAAGGCTGGATTCCCTCCTGGAGTAGTCAATATCGTCAATGGTGGTCCTGATGTTGGTAAGCACTATAGTTGCTTCTGTGTACCAATCCCAATTCGTGATGGAGATCCTGGCACGCCACATGGATGTTGACAAGGTTGCATTCACCGGTAGCAGTGTTACAGGCCCTAAGATCATCAAGGCCAGTGCCGAGTCAAATCTCAAGAAGGTACACATTCTACTACCGTCACGACACCTGAGCTCTCTTCAGGTTACTCTCGAACTGGGGGGAAAGTCCCCTATGATCGTGTGCGATGACGCCGACTTAGATCAGGCCCTAGCGGCGGCTGATATAGGATTGTTCATCAATCATGGCCAGTGTTGCTGCGTCGCTAGCCGTAAGCAGTCCTATTTTCAAATTTTGATGTCAAGCCTGTGTTGGGCTGTGGTATTCAGGTATCTACGTTCAGCGTGGTGTATATGATGAATTCGTGAAGAAGGCCGTGCAACGCGCTAAGAACAAGAGAGTCGGGGACCCGCGTGACCGAAATTGCGACCAAGGACCGCAGGTAACTACCGATACCGAACTCGACGATGTTGTTTCTTCTCGCCGTTCCTAGGTTGACAAGATTCAGTTCGAGCGAGTTATGTCCTACATCAAGTCAGGCGTCGAGGAGGGCGCTGAACTTCTCTGTGGAGGGAAGCGTTTGGGAGATAAGGGGTAGGTCTTGGGGGACGACGAAAATTCATTCGAGATAGTTGGGGGAGGGAATCGCCCCATCAGTGTGCCTGTGGTAATGGAATATACCTATCAGGTGCTTCATCGAGCCAACAGTGTTCGGCAACGTGAAAGATCATATGAGGATATCTAGAGAGGAGATTTTCGGGCCAGTTATGCAGATCGCCCCATTCGACGTAAGCTGAGCGAGACCGCCCTGTTCAAATTGCCGCCTTTATTCAGACCATGGAAGAGGTCGTCAGGAGAGCTAATGATACTCCATTTGGTCTGACTGCGGGTATATGCACTCGCAACATCGGTAAGGCTACCAGAATTGCCAAGGAGCTCAAGGCGGGTGAGTGTCGAACTTGGTGTCTGTTCTGAGTGAGATGTTGGTGGTAATGATGTCAGGTACAGTATGGGTCAATTGTTACCTTAACCTCGATGCAGCAGCAGCCTTCGGTGGTTATAAACTGTCAGGATGGGGACGTGAAAATGTGGGATATCAAGCCCTCGAAAGCTCCTCGCACAGATTTCTCTTTCAGGGAGCGGAGGGTCTTGAGAATTATCTCGAGACTAAGTCAATCATGTGGCCCGTTGACGAAACCATTATTTGATTTCAGAATTTTCTCGTTAACGACGATTTTCCTACCAGTTATGTCTTCCGACACTCGTCTTTTCTCACATCTAAAACGGTTTCAGAATTGCCTATACTCGTTTGGTTCACCCGAGTAAAGCTGAGGACCTCAGCCTGAGGTTCTCAGGAATGGGAAACAGACTCTAGACCTCGTTGTTCACGATACTTGTTGATCGTAAATCAACTCATACGAATTCTCCTGTCGAACTGAACTACTTGATCGCTTCGTCGATCCAGTCTATCCTCTCACACATTCGCAATCACTCGAGCATACGCTACCAGACCGCAAGGCCGAATGCAACTGTAACGTTATACACGTGATGAGACTTAGGACGCCACAGCGCTGCCACAATACGTGAATGCTCGTTGAAATATCTATATGTGGCGTGACGCCACTGGCGTCGGATGAATAACGGCAACTGTCAGGAACACTCAGCGCCGCTATTTTTCATGAGAGAAACAGCTATACGTGACACGCATTTTTGGGCGTGCGCTTTTCTCATTTCCCGATAGCAGTTGTTGGTGACCAACACGGCGATGGTTTTCCTCAGGTACTTCTAATGCACTTCTATCATGGTCTTTGCTAGTCTCCAATGTTGAGTTTTCGCCTCGGTGAGTTCAGTGACTTCGACGTTCTCCCCGTTACTCCGTAGGTGCACATATAATGTCTGTCAAACGTCCGTCATCAGACATCAGTGGCAACAACAACAACATAAGAGCTCCGACTTTTCCCGAGGGCTCTAACACGACAGCCTCCGATTGGATTACCCCCAGGCAGGCTCAGAAGCTCCGTCGTGTGGCTAGTCTAACGCCTCATGTTAAACTCCAGCATCAGAATCAGAAGGCTATCAGCGTCCACGATGTGCAGAATTTCCTGCTCTGGGCTACTGGCTCTGAGGCGGGGGTTATGCCTCGTTGGTGTGTATTGGAGAATATGCACACTGTGAAGAATATTACGGTGGTTATGACGCCGTATTTCGACATTTCTTCCTTACTAGAGGCCGCTGGGAAGACCGCGGGAGGCAGCAGTGATTATCCGTTTTTGGGGTATGCGCTTCGAAAGTGCATGCGAGCCGGGTCGTGGCGGCCTCCCAGTGGGAAGCCTCCGCCTAGTTTAGAGAAGGTTTGTCCGGTGCTCAAGCATTTCTTGCAGCTGATGGTTGCCAAGAGCAAGATACCGCAAAAGCTGCGCCCCAAGACTGCCCACTCTAACGAGAAACCAGTGTTGATCCCTATTGCGGATTTCCTGATGACTACTGCCAACATGATCGCCAACGAGTTCCCAGTACACAGTGTAAGCGGAGTCCCTCCCGAAGGATACGTAGAGTGTCAAACGTCATTGGGGGAGCACAAGAGACCGCCCATACCTGCCAGTGCAGGCGAGGGTGTTCCTGCCTTTGTGTTCAACGACAAGGACTACAAGAATCTACTGGCCATCGACTGTGAGATGGTTGATACGGCTGATGGTCTGGAGCTAGCTCGCTTAAGTGCCGTTGACTCGGGGGCCAAGACTCTTCTGGACATGTACGTGAAGCCAGCTAAGCCTGTACTGGACTACAAGACGGAGTTCTCGGGGATAACGCGGGAGTCTCTTGTCGGTGTCACGGCTACTCTCAAGGACGCTCAGAAGGCCTTGATGGATTTGATGGACTCGGATACCATATTGGTTGGTCATGGTCTCGAGAACGATCTCAAAACTCTTAAGATGGTCCATAGGCGTATTATCGACACCTCTGACTTGTATCCTCATCCTGCTGGCCCCCCTAGAAAATCAGCACTCAGCTATCTGGTCCGGAAGGTTCTCAAGTCTAAGATGTCTCGGGAGTCAACTGGTGTGCATGATTCTACTGAAGATGCTTTACAGGCTATGAGGCTTTCTATTCTCAAATTCGCCAAGGGGCCGTACTGGCACCCTGACGATGAGGATAAGTATGGTCTCTCTCTTGCCTCACTTGTCGGTGGTATACGTATTCACGGAGAAGATGTTGATCGTGCTACAATGGTGCAGCGGTATGGCGAACGCGCGATGACTGGCGTGCTCATGCCTGATGAGGAATCTGAGTCGTCAGAGCCCAGAGTTCAACTTCATGTCTTGCGAGGCTTTCAACGGTGGTGTGAGCTACAGCAGTCTGGGCCTGGTTTGACCAAGTCCAGTAGAGCCTCTAGCAAACAGCATAAGAGGATGGTCATGATGAAGATTGATCTCACTATCCGAAAGCTTCTACGCAGCATGTCCAAGGGCGATTTACTCGTGGTTTTCTCTGGTTGTGGTGATATGGCCCAGTACGCCACCGCCTTTGACAACTACCGGAAGTCGGGCCAGCATGAGGCCAAACGTCTCCTTGAACTTTCACGGGAAAAGGTTGCTCGAAGTTTCACCATGTTCACTAGTGTGGCTGATGTCCCAGCAGAGCTATTGGCCGATTCCCCAGTGAACGTCCCGCCGCCTACGTCATCATCTTCATCGGCTCCTTCTGCGACGTCTCGTGTTGTCGAGAGTGACTCCGAAGAGAGCTCACGAGAGACCTTCCCCTTTCAAGCCACTAGCGAGACTTCGACTGAAGAAGCCCAGCCGAGTCCGGCCGATGTGGCTGTTCGCTCGTGAGAACGACTGTCTCCCAAGACTGCAACTTAGTCGCCTACTAGCCATAATACCATTGTACACTTTCATCGTCTGCCTAGATTCGATCTCTGTCTGTGTATCAATTTCGCGCATTTGCTCCCAAAAGAAAAGTAAAAGAAAGTAAAAAATAGTGGATTCGTCATTGAATCCGATGATACCAGACGTCTTGTTGCGTTGTCCGGTTTGAAGCAGGTGAGGGAGGGAGTCGGCCTTACTCAACACAGATCTCAGTCATTTGGCAGCGGAACGGTAAACTTGATTGGGGCTCCAAGATCATCTCTGCTAACGCTGCAGGAAGTTAGACCATCAATAAACGGAAACACTCCAGGAATGGAATCTGGCAGCACTTCTCCCTATTCACGGTTTTCTCCATATCGTCATAACTTATGTAGTAGAGTATGAAAAGTCTGTTTACGGTGGAATCAGTGAACGACCTCGTGTGACATGGGTCGTGTATGAAACTCATTCTTCCGACTAAATCATGCCAGTAAACCATCCTCGGATTGACATAGCTTTCCCGAGTGATAAGGGGCAGCTATGCCGGAGAAACGATCTATGTTATTTTTTCGAAATGGGAGTGACTTCCGACGTGCCGACAAATTTGATCAGCTTATAGTCGCGTTCTAATGTTCTGCGTGCGCGAAGATTGTTCCAAGACATTTCTTGAGTTGGCATAGGTGCCCCATGGGAGATATTGATCGTACTGAAAAGAGCAGAATAGGTCTGCCGAAGCCGGGGTCGACTTTTGTATGATCGATACTCGCTCAAGTGTAGCATTTAGAAACTAATTTGCCGGATGGGGCCGCTATGCCGCGGATGTTCTCATATTATCTGACGTTCCAAATCTGCGAATGATCGTCAGAGAGCAACCGAAGAAATCGCCGACTGAACCGTGCATATCAAGAATTTGCAATACCCTTCTCTTCCCATTCAGACCCGTTGAGGAGCTCTGTGAACAACAAAGCGAGGTCACGGGGCGAGAGTGAACACAGTTCATGTTTACGTGCTGATTCCATTATGCTGCCTCACCATGCAATAATACTGTGTTTATAACTTGCAGTTAACTTGTTTATAACATTTTTATAACACTGCAATAGGCTAGCGCAAATACACTTACAATGCATATCTGTCTATACATGCCTATGGGATACCAGCTGGGTACTTATATATAGCAATTACCGCAATGAGAATATCACACACTTTTCGGGATTGAATTCAAAAAGAAAGAAGTACAAGTACAAGACAGATTGACAATAGTCTAATGGCGTCAGTAGACGCTGATGAGTTCGGATTCTCGGCACCCAGTGGAGGTATGGTGGTCGACGAATTCGATGGTGGTATCGGATTGGTAGCGTTAGAGTCCTTCTCGAGCACGAATAGCGATAGCAAAGGTAACGACAGTGTGTTGGCGACCTTATTGTACTGAATCGTCAACAGACCAACCGGTAACGCGGGAGCCACAGCACGCAGCTCATCGTAGACATTCTTGAGGCAGATTGCTTCGGCAAAGTCCACGATAATCGTCGAGTCGTTAGAGTCAAAAGTATACGGCATGTCAGCACACTGAGAATCAATTTGTGGAATGAGCGGGGAGTCCGTGTCGATCCTGATGACAGTATCGAGAGTGCTGGTGATGTTGTCGATATTCACCGACACATGCACTTCGTCCGAATTGGGTAGAACATAGAGACCACGAGGCACTCTGTTAGCCGCTGAACCATTAGGAGCCGGTGTGGGCAGTACCAAGTCGCTCGTGGTGAACGGATCGGGAAGCACTGCGCCTGGCGTTCCTGTGCAGATCTGAAGTTCGTCGCCGCATATACCCATGCTACAACCGACACAGTCCGCCGAGAACTGCTGCAGGCAAGCTTGCTGACAAGCCGTGGCAGCGCAAGAGTAGAGCTCAAAATAGCAAGTGGCACAGGATTTACTGATATTGGTGCTTGCCGAAACACATTCCAGCGCACCATCATTGAAGCCACCAGTCGTAGTTACACAGGTATTGAGGTTGTTGAAGAGGGCGGGTCCTCGCCCGACATTGGCAACGTCTGACGTAGAGCATGAGTCGGCATCCTCACCGACTGTACAAGGGATGATGACCAATAGAGGGATCAGTCGGATGACTTGCATGGTAGCTGGAGGTAAAACAACTGAAAACCTATGCGTAGTTGGGAGGTGCAGACCCACTGGGACCTCAATGTCTGGCAAGGTCCCTTCTGGTTGTCAAGCAGCCCGCGTTGACGATGGAACGTGTCTGATAATCATATGATCTGTGGCCTTAATCGAAGGTCTTGTACCGCAAGAAACCGTAAGATACTCGCTGTCGGGCGAATTTTCATCTTGGGGTGTTCGTAAGT